GTAAACGTGGATGAGTATCTGAGGGGGAGTCGAGAGTCGGGGGGAATTCCCCCTCGAGAAACACGGCGTACACGCCAGCGAGAATGGGCTGGAAATCCATAAAAACCAAAAATGGAATATCCGGAAATCGACAGAGCGAATTTTCGGAAACCCTGAGATGAATTATTCAGGGAACCCCCCCCCCCCCCCCGAACACATTGATCCATAAACCTTAATTTTAATTAACTATCTACGCGAACCAACTCAATTCGAACATGAGTGGAATTTCTTACACGCAAAAACCCACGTATAACGGGAATGGACGCGCTCTGGCAATTAAACGGGAGTAATTATCCCCTTGAATAACCCACCAAAAATCCCGAAAACCACCCAATCATGAGTGAAAAAAGGGGGGAATCGGCACCTCAATATTTGGATTAAGCGTCACAATCACCGTTTTAACGGGATAAAATGCGACGTACGGGGCTGAAGACCCCGTAGTCGAATAACTAAAAGCCGAAATGAATTCGGAAAAATACATAAACCGAACTAAAAACTCACGATCTTCCTGTGTTTAGAGGTCCTCTTCCCTTTTCGGACCATCCTGGATCGGTACGGCTCCTCCAAAAGGTATAATAATCCACGTGGCACAATTACGTTGCGTGGACACACTCAAAATTTCGCACGTGACTAATGATCGATGACGGTCAACGCGGACCTAACTGCCCTGGGTCAGTGACACGGGCACTAACCGCAGCGCGAATTCTGGCCAACAGAGACGGGCTCTGATTGGCGGAGATTTTCGGCACATCAAGCGTTGGCTTTGTTGGCGCCACCAAAGGCTTTTGGGGAATTCAACCGCGACAAATACTCAATTCTAATTTCTTTATACGTAACTTTATAAAATTGACTAATGATTACCTGGGCCGAACTGGTGGGCGTTCGGAAAATTACTAAGGGTTTTTGGCGCCTCCTACGGGTCGGTTCTCCTGGATTCACGGGGTTAAAAGACCGATACTACTAATTCTCCTAATTTTTCAAAACTCTAAGCAACCTGGCAATTCACGGGATAAAAGAGTTGCACTTGTTCCTCGTGACCTTCCACCGAAAATCTAAAACGTAACCATCTAACCACCGTAAAATCCATTATAATTTGGAGCGCCGGCATTTCAGCCGGACCTAATCGATTTGCCGTAGGATTCACAATAGGGTGGCTCCCATAAGAATTATCGGATGACTCATAACTTGGCCCTTCTTCGCGATAATTCCATGGGCCCTCAAAAACGCGTAATTATGCCGGTCTTGAGATTAAACAAAATACTATGGAATTAAGACACAAATTTAGCCACACTATGGCGTGGAAACCCCCAAACCTCATGGTCGTCACGAGGATTGGACTTCTGACCACCCCGGGGTGGAAAAGTGAAACGCTCTCTCTCGCTACCTTTTACTCACGGGTCGCCTTCCTATGTCACGGGGGGGTTAGTTGTTTTGATGGCAGCATCGTGTCCTAACGAACATCCCCACATGTTCGTTACAAAGTGCATAAGATATGATTCCTCTTCGTTTGGATTGTAATTCTCACCCATATAACGATTATTGGCATGGGCGTAACGATTCGTGCACTGAGCTACTCCTCCTCGGATACCTTTTTCAATGAACAAGAGTTTATCAACGTCTGTGAAAAGTTCAATCTCCACACCAGTGCATCTCAACATTGCATCAAACGCAAGTCCAGGTGCTGTATAATAATGCAGTGGATCTAGTTTATACACGGAGAAACAACTTTTCCGGAAATTCTCGAAAATGTCTGCACGAAGTAACACATCAGTTTTCAAATACAAATCAGAATATTCACCAATTGTTGAGACACCAAATTTATCCCAAACTTAACACGCATATGTATAATCGTCCTTTGAATTCGTTTGGTTGTTCAGTGCCGAAAAAAAAGCTTCTCTTGAGGGTAGTTCTCGATCATCCAATTTATCCCAACTATCCAAGTATTCATAGGGAAATACACCCTTCCTCATTAATCAATGGAATTGTTCATCATCATCACAATGAGCCTGTGTAATAGTCTTGTCTACATCAGTCAGGTCTGATGCCAATTGTTCCAAGCTACTTGCCATGAACCTGAACGAATCGATGAATCTCAACCTAACTTTTGTCTGGGGAATAGATTTCCTGAATGAAATATATTTCTCTTTGGTTAGCGGAAGCAACTCCACCGATCCTTCGAAATGCTTCACTAAATCCTTAATCAAAAAATGCGCATCATAGCCTGAGAGATTATGAAAAATTACGGGGATATCTTGTGAATTTTTGTAATTTATATTGCAACCATCATGCGCCGCCCCACGATACCTGCCTGTAAAGTGACAATGATCTCGATGTTTTATATCTGTTGAACTAAAAGGCTTCTCACATATATGGCACACTCGAGCAGTTGCAAAGTCTCGCGATTTTTCGTTGGTAAATGGCTCCATTAGTACAACAGTCTTCAATATATCATTTACCATCTCTCCCGTCTTCTTTAATTCATTCATGAACCACACGATACAATCCGCGCCACGTTTGATTTTAAAGAGAGATAGGTTATTATTAAAGAAACACTGTAAGTAGAAAGCGATACTGTGTGGGATATGTTTCTGGTACAATCTGTTATTATCATCATCATAATCATCAATCGGTTGTAAAATACACTCCAGATCAGCGTAAATAACGAATGGCACTGGTTCCTTGAATTTATGATTTCGAAATTTCAAAATTTTATTCTCCTCTAATGGTAGTATCATCTTACACTTATTGATGGCAAGACAGTCCTGTTTGTGATCCTCATAACTTTTTTTCTCCCGAAAATCACACAAGCACCGATCACAGAGCCATTTACGGTGGTTGTCATTTGAAATTTGCGCACTAACAAGTCTTGAAAGATCACTCATCCACACGAAATGATAAACTGGGTGTACATTGACTGGCAAATGCACACTCGTACAAAAAACTAATAAATGAATTGTAGGTATGTCTGATTTCATTTTGCTAAGGTAAAATGGCACTATTTCCTTCTCAGCGTTCACTTCATTTTCAAGGCCATAAATATTGATTGATAGACCATTTCTCTTCTCAAATTTAAGAACATCGCTTAAAGAGATGGGGAAATTAATACCCATGTAATCAAGTCTCTTCTGGCTTTGGGGTAGAGTTGCACTAGCATAATGTGGGTATGAATAAGTAACACATCTGTTTCTCTTCGCTGGATGAAGAGCCGCAATAACTGACCACAAGAAACAGAATTTATCTGAATTTTTTATATTCACAACGGCTTTTTTACACTGTATATAGTACGGAAGCTCTGCGTAAGTCGATAAACCTGCAGCGAGTGGACTATATCGATTGATATTAACCATTAAATTTATCACTTCGATTAATTCCCACCCTGAATCACGTTCTTGGAAATCCTCGATTTTTATAAGCAGTGGTTCAATAACATTCTCATCAAACCATGCCCCCAGGTCTGTAGCTGGTAGAATAATTGCATTTTTCGTATTAAAATGTTTTATTTCTTTGATAATGGTAGAGACCTTCCTTCTTGATTTGAAATTTACAAGATAATATACTGTTCACTTTCATATTCCCATTAGTCTCGAGAACATTTTTTAAACGCGGAGTTGTTAATTCTTTGGCATCACTCAGAAAGGCGGCTGGATACTTGTTTTGTAGATTAATCACAGTACCAGTGCGTATGCGACCTTGAAAGGCTGAGGGTCCATCCCTCCAGCGTACTCGATCTGTGAGTGTTTCTTCTCTGCTACCTGATGGCACCTGCACTCGACCCCCTCGACGTTGTCTATTCCTGAAACTCTCCTGGTATCCTTGGATTCGCGCGATTGTCGATAGAATTTGATTTTTCTCACCAACAGAGAGATTAGCTTTGGTGAGAGTTTTTGTATAAATTTGAATATAGTGGCTACACCGATTAATCCATTGGTCGATGTCTTGAGAGAGTGCATTCTGGTAAGCATGTTCCAGAATTTCAATTATTCGAGCACAGGGGATGATGTTACGTTCCATCTTGGAATTACACTAGCGAACTCAATGAAGATGCACATCCATTTATAGCAACGATCGTCTTTGTTTGCATCTCGAGTACCTACTGAATTTCTCAGGAATTATCGACGGTTGGGATTCTGCGATCAATTTGTCCGTTGAGAAATACGTTGGATGGAATTCTCAAGAATTATCTGACGGTTGAGATTCTGAGAGTAATTTTTCCGTTGAGAAATACGTTGCATGTTACCCCACTCCCCCAATAGTCTTTTGACCGTTGAAATAATAGCCAATAATCGCATCCTCCCCTCCCCTAATCGAAAGACTATAAGTACCGTTAGTGCAATCAGTGGTTATCCAGTCGATTGCCTGCAACGGTAACCATACAATTCTCCAACAACATCCAGTGAAAACAGCAGAGAGAGAACAGTCAAAATGGAGACGAACCAAGCAACGAATCTCGATGAAATCAATAAAATTGCAACTAGGGGATTTCCTGCCTACCAAACGTCGATTTGTAGATCATCCCTACGAAGTTTGGCAACAAAGTGACAGTTGTGTTGAACGATGAGTGCATCGTTTATCTGCCAAAGCGAGTGTCCGACGTCTTTCTGCTGGATCTACCAAAACTGGAAATGTTTTGCATGGCTGCTGCCTCCACACGTCTGAAAATCACCTTTCTGGAAGGACCCTACAACCCATGCCTATTCAGTTGGATCGACACCTAAAAATTTATCGTAAATACTTACTGATATTTGTCAAACTGTTGAACCAATGTAATATTAATAATCTGAAAAGATGACGCTGGTGAAATAAATGAACAACTCAGAATTTGGGTTTATTTTTTTCATATATATTTAAGAAAAACTTTTCTTTAAAAAAAAATCGAAAATATAAAAAAATTATATAATAATATAAAAACTAAAAGAATATATATAAAAACTTTTGATTTTGTAAAAATAAAAAAAAATATGGTGCACAATCCGAGAATTAACAGCATCTGAAACACAAGAAAAAAAAAACATTCAAATTAGTCAAGGAGAAAAAAGAAGTGAGAGAAGTAAGGAGAGAGAGAATAATGTTTACTCACTTTATTCAATGCGATGGCCTTGATCCTCCAAAATGAGCCATGCTGCGGGGACCAGGGATCTTACGTATGGCAGCATCTCTCGTGCCTCTTCCTCACGATCCACGAGAAGGAGGAAGTTTAGGAAATTCCTCAATTCCTGGTGAAGCTCGCTCAACTACACACAAAAAAAAATCATATATATATATTAATTATTTCTCACTTGTAATTACAAAATGAATTATTCCACTCTTTTTCATTCGGTACTTACTTTGCTGACGAAATAGAAATCTCCGAGGTACCCCATGAATTTGTAGAGGAGATGCATGGAGACCTCAAGATGGCCAATCAAGCCATAACAGTGCTGGAATTTACTCCAGCACTCATCCACCTTCTCCAACCACCAGTTCTCCATCTTAACATCATCATCCTCAACCTCTCCCCTGAGATCTGGGTCTGGGAAGGGATAATTCTCCATTTTCACTATAAAAAAAAAACAGTACGATAATTAGTACACACTATGTACACTGAGTCATCACAAATTACACTGCACTTTTAAACAACCACTTTCAATATTTAATACTTACATCGACTTTAAAGTTTTGCTAACACACAATTTTTCAAACTGTATCTCAGACGACCAGAGATGTAATGAAGAAGAGCAGCGTTACGCGCTCCACACACACTTCCCACTTCTCACTTCCCACTTCCCTCCTCTCACAGTTGTCTGGTGCGTCTGGCGCATACACTCGAGTGTTTACGTTTTGGGACAAAGGACGATTGTGGAGATGCTGGATAATAACCATGAGGACACTCAATTCAATTCAATTTTTGTTTTTATTCAATACATGGAGAAAAATATTGGTAATTTGAGAAAATAAGGAATAATAAATAATAATTAACACTCCTGCACGTGATATATAATGAGTTTGATACTCTCAATTTTAAAGTATTATGAAAAATTATGAAAACACCATTAAAAAAAAATGTTTTCTCGTAGCGTAAGCAATTGTCCCATCTCCTCATCATACAGCAAAAGCGTTTTTTTCCCCTCTTGGAATGTGAGAATCGTTTACAACTGAAACAGATAAATGAGAAAAACAACTTATTAACACACATTTTCTTCATTGAGTCCATTGATTATGGTGATGATTATCAGAAATTTACCTTGTGACGAATTTCGATGTTGGCAGGCAATCTCTCAGGAAACTTGAAATGGCTCATTGGACGAAAGTAGACGTGACCGTGAGGACAAAACCATTTAGCTCGTACATAACCAATCGTGACGAAAGTGCCACCAACTTTGAAATGTCTGTTGATAACTCCTCTCAGCTTTTTCTTCAATGTCTTCTCAGACAGCTCCTCACCCCATTCTTTAGGCACGAAAATTTTCACCAGTTCATCATCATCGTCTGAGTCATCATCCGATCCTGTAGTGCACTTTGGAGCTGAGCCTGGTTGTGCAGTCCCAGGATCCTCTGGAATCACAACTGGTTCCACTCCCGGTGCAAGAGTCTCTGATGTTTCTCCAGATTCTGAGTTCTCGAGTATCTCTGGGATGACAGGTGAGTCTTTTTCCACTGACTCCTAGCTCTCTGGAATGATGGGTGAGTTTTTCTCCAGCGTGTCAACCTCTGGAGGGTTTGAGATATCAAGTGAACCCTTCTCTGCTGGCTCTGGACTCTCTGACGAGTCCGGGATAGTAGACACTGCTGGGCCTTCCTCTGCTGGCTCCGGGCTCTCCGGTGAGTCTGGAATAATAGGCAGAGTTGGTCCTCTCTCAGCTGGCTCTGGGCTCTCTGGAGAGTCTGAAACACCAGACATGATTGGACTCTCCTCTATTGGATCCTGAATCATAGGAACAGCTGAATCATCCTACTCTGCTGCCTCGGGAGGTACATCCAAACCTCCCTCTACTGACTCAAAGCTCTCAGGTGACTCGGGGATCGTGATAGCCACCTCAGCGGTATTCTGTGGATCCTCCGGAATGACCATTGGATCGTGCACTTCTTCCATATCAATTGTTGAGTCAGGCTCCATTGGTGACTCAGATGTGTCCGAAGCCGCTGTCCCACCACCACTTCCAGATGATTGTGGAACAAGTATTTCATTGAAAACTGAATCCCAAGTAGTTGTATCACCTGTCTCACTATTCACTTCAGACGAAGATGTTCCGGAAAGGTCTATCAGCCCAACTACCAACTCACCATCAGTGGAGCTCTCGTTGTCAGAGTCATCTGACTCTGCAGAGAGAATTGATTCGATGGTCTCGTTCTCCACATTTCTCTTAAATCTCTCGGTGAATTTCATATTTTGAATGAATTGACGAAATGTAACGATTTCTCAAGTTGAAATTATTTCGTGATCAGACATCACTCAAAAGGAGAGCACTATGCATCTTAGCTCGTTGAATCGGAATGTACCGAACAGCAGGTCCGGGGGCTGCTTATAAATCCCCCCAGATCTCATACGTCAGAGATCGCTTTGGAATACCCCCCACCACAGTCGCCATTTTGTTTAATCGTCCTTTTGTCCAACGGTCATTGCATCATGGATTTGTAGAAATGCTAACCAGACGCTCTGTGGAATGTAATCATTCCACCATAACGGATATTGAATTAATATTATGAAAACGTGACTCTTTCATGTTGGTGTTGCTTGCGCCCTCTGAGATCATTCCATAAGGTGGTACCGATTTCATCGTTATATTTTCCGAGAAAGTCAACGGACAAATGATTCGCGAAAGATCGACAAAGGCTTGCGCTCGCAGGAGGGCATTTACCCTTTGTGTGATGTTTGAAATGGTTTTTCTTCAAATTCCATCTGGAAGACTTCATCACTGTGAATCGTCCAGACAATAACAAAAAATGATTAAATTAATATTATAAAAACGTGACCGTCTCGAGGCAATGCCTCATCCACCCCTCCAGCAAAAACGTGTGGAGAGGGATAATTTCAACCGATCCGCCATGATGCTAAATGGCTATGCATAAAGGTATGAAGATAGAGGGGCAACCTCAGTCAGTTTCAAATCTGAACAACAGCAATATGGCAGTGGTCATTGATATTGAGGGTTTCAAAGATCTTGGAAACGAGTTCATTGTGAAAGAATTCGCGATATCTGCATTGGAAGTAAATGAACATGGAAATTTTCTCCATGACTGGACTCTGGTGGGTCCACCTCACAAATGGGATGATTTACTACCCAAATATAAGGAAATGAATCAGTAGTTGTCACGTCATTATCATGGACTGCACTGGGAATNAGGAATCTCCACGTGATATTAGGTACCAGGAATTGAGTGATTTTGTCAATGGTATGGTGGACTCTGCCTCACACATCTACGTCCAAGGTGCTGAGAAGAAGTGGATGGATCAGATCCTCACGAAAGATATACCAGTCGACGATTTGAACGATCTTGGTTGCCCAGTTCTGTATCACCTGATGGAGGAAAAAAAGTGTACATATCATCATACTCTTTATGATGGGGGTCCTGTTCACTACTATTGCGCTGTGGACAATGTAGTGCGTTTGAAGAAATGGTAGACCAGGTACGAAGGTGGGTCTCTAGAGAAATCATTGAAAAAGTTTTGTGAAAATCAACATCTAAATTCATTGACAACTCAGGAAATTTCTTATCTCCCCAAACACTTCATTAAAACCGTTGCCAAAGACACTGTTGATGTGGCTTGGGAGAAATTGCCTGAGATGATGACGAGGGATCCAAGCATCGCTGCTTTACGCCATTGTTGCACACATTGGTCTTCAATGGGTACAACACCACTCGGTCCAATCCCTCCACCAATAGCAGAGTGCCCTCTGTGCCAGTATCAACGTTGATAATATATACAAAATCTCTCTCCACCACGATCGGTGTATTCGAATTCTTCGAAACCCTCCATCCTCCTCCTCATATGAGATCAGCTCGCATAAACTCTTATAAACACCGTCAGTTCGCTATTGCATTTCGATAACACGACATCGCAATCATTATTCACTCAGAGTGAACAGAAGCAAGTGAATTTCTACATTCATTTTGGAAAAGTTATTTTTGAAAGTTATCGATTTACATTTTCAATAGACCAAAATGTCACGTTATATACATTTTGAGATGTATGAGCAATCATACTCATCCTTTGAGGATGCTGCAGCACAGGACATTGATGTGTCCTATCATCGTATCCTAGAAAATGTCCTCATACCCCTCAAATGGTTCATGCAATTGCCTGTGCCAACGTTGGTGACACATATCATCAGGGCTATTGAAGGAATAGATGGCATAACAGATATTTATCTATCACTTGTTGGTGTCCGTACTCTTCTGGTTAAAAAAGACGATGTGTACATCTTCGTTCAGGGACCAGTGGTAGAACCATGCAATGAGGGAACATCTCCTGATTGCAGCTCATGTGAGGGTAAAACTTTCCCTGAATGTGACTCGTGCAATGAGGTGGGAAGCAGTGCAGACATAGAAACGTTGGTGGAGATGAGAGCCATGGAGCAAGCAGCAGATGAATGGGAGACTATGAGGTAGAAGATGGAGAAGAAGATGACAATGTGGTGAGAGTGTTCAATGTTGACAGCAGTGATACCTCTTCGGATGAGGTGTCAATCAACTTTATTTTTGATGGTGAGACATAAAAAGTTAAAATCAGATGAAGATGGTGGGGGAATAACCAATGACAGTGCACAGATGTATAAGAGGGGGTACTTCTCCCTCTGTAACCAGTCAGAGAACAAATTGGCAATAGACATCCTTGAATCTCCGAGTGAATATCATCATGGAATTAATTATTGATTTTCAAGGATTCCGGAGAGGAGGACATTTTGTTTTGAAAGAGTTGAGTGCAGTGTCAGTCCAGTTACGGGATAATGAAAGTTCACTAGATATCCATATTGTTTTCCAATAATGAAATTTTTGATTGAAAACTGACATACTAAATTATATGAAATATTGTTGTTGTTCCTCATCATTTTTATTCTGTATCTTTTAATTCTCACCTTTTTGAAAAAATATATTAATCTGAAATTTTAAATTCGACAAAGTGATTTTTTAATGAATAAAATAATGTGTCATTATCTCTTCCTTTGATTAAGACTAATTTTCAGGTATTCACACTCTTGAAGCTACATCATCTGTCTAATCGGTGGAATATACAGTCTGCTTTATTCCGCATTGATAAATCCTCTCGATCGCGTATATATATTGAATCGATGTTGTTTCATCTCGACTTCACACTTTTATCCTCCACCACCAGCGATCATTGCCTGCCCGCTCAGCTGACAGACTCACACGTGCCTTGATGTAAACAAATGAGTGGAACTTTCAGAATAATTGCACAGTCGAATATCTTGTGCATAATTAAGTAGGTTGATTTTTCCATCAATCAATTCAAACAATAAGGAACATTTGTCTATGAAGAATTATTTTTTTATATTGATATANAATCTAAAAGGGATAATGAAATTGTAATTGATACTATTCCTGAGAGTTTTCGGTTATTTTCTTTAGATTTTAAGATCATTGCGAAAAACTGACTACCTGAGGGGATTAATTCGAATGGGCTTAGCTCTTTCCTGTTTAATTAATTAATTAACTTTGCACGAGTCAATCAACTTCTCATATCTTGATAAACTCATCATTGATAGATTCATCTCATGAATGACCGACTTGAGGTGAAAATGTCAAAAGATTTATTTCGTAGAACATTTTTCAGCTATAACAAAAGTTGTTTGATCTTTCCTTTGAATCTACTCAATGCCGAGATGAAGACGATGTGGATGTTAATTGACATATGATGAGAGACATTTATTGTTAAATCCGTTTTTCCAGGTTCGAGCGAAATGCCTTCACTCGGCAAACCCCTGAGAGAACTCCTCCTCAATGTCATACTAAAATTCATCCAGCAATTTTGGACAGACCCATTACCACAATGGAGTTCACCTGTTTGGACCGAAATGAGTGTGTTCTGCAAAGGGGAACTGAGGCTAATGGATATCTATGTCGTCGTAACACAGAACAGATATGGCATTCTAACGAGGGCCCAAGAACTCGCCAATCCTTAACACAACAACATTTCCGAAGAATACTTCTCAATTTTGACATTTCCTGTTTTGTGTTCCAATGAAGCATGAAGATTGTGATGTAAACACAATACAGCCTTTTAAAAAATTTGAATAGAATTCATTGAATAAAACAAGTATCGAGAATCAATTTATGCGATATCTATGATATCTATGTCGTCGTAACACAGAACAGATATGGCATTCTAACGAGGGCCCGAGAACTCGCCAATCCTTAACACAACAACATTTCCGAAGAAGACTTTTCAATTTTGACATTTCCTGTTTTGTTTTCTAATGAAGCATGAAGATTGTAATATAAACACAATACAGCCTTTTAAAAAATTTGAATAGAATTTATTGAATAAAACGTATCGAGAATCAATTTATGCGTTTCACATATTTTCCCCTTCCAATTATGCCCAATTGTTTGATAATTGAAGTTTCCTAATTTTGTGTGATGAATTTTCTGAGGAAGAAATTAGGGAATGAATTATAAAACTTTGAGGAACGTGTTCTTTATGCAAAAAGGGCGAATTTTTTCTTATTGTCATATCGCAGTACGTAAAATGACATTTCGTATAGAAAATAAATCTGACAGAATGTTTCGTCCATTCTTGCCTTTTTTCCTCTATTACCTAAAATTTCATAATATTTCATCATCATTATCGACAAAATTGAACAACATTCAATTAAATTTTGTTCGCTACAAAACCACCATCAATATTTGCAGACTAAAAAGCAATTATTCTGTAGCCAGGCACCATATAAAAAAACTTATAGCTTTTGGAATACTTTCAACGCTTCACCACTGGATCCCTGAATGCCACAGCTACAAGTTTATCCTTTCCCTGCCTAATCCATAGCGAAGATTCTCTCCATAGCAATTAAATCAGGACGAAAGTCTTGACCTAGTGGGTCGTCCCTCCTGTTCGTCCCAGTACCACCACACCCCCTCGACATTAATTCTCACAGAAGCAGTCCTGACTTTTCCCTCAGCCTTGGTCCTCTTCCCCTCCACAGTCTGCAGCCACTTCTGCACCTTTCTCTTCCTTCCAGTGTAATCTGAGGAGATACGAACAAGACCGAGCTTCACCCCCTTTCTCGTCCTTAATATTAGCTTCTTGATGAGATGAGAGCTGACATTCACCACCAGAGTATTCCTCACCACCAGGAACTTGGCGACTCCAGCAACGATCCCCATCTTCGTCCAGATGTAGTTATTGACATCGTCCTCAAGTCTCTTCCTCCCACTCTGGACTCTCACCAGGATCAGGAGATTTAACTCCTCCCAGATAACTTGAGTATAACTCCCACCAAGCAGTCGATTCACTGCGTCGGTAACAATAAGCAACAAATCCTTCCTGTGAATGAGCGATGACTTCCGCCAGCCTGTGTCGGTGGGAAATAAAAATTAGTGTACTTGAATTCCCTAAATATTAACTGATGAAAAATCTAATGAAAAATATTTACCTGTATGTCATATCACGAGTTAAAGATGTTGGTATCTCTCTTAGTTTGCATTGCATTGTTTTCTGGGAACGTTCTCTCATTTTTATTTCCAAATTTATAAAAATGTGAAAATTAGCATGACAATTGATCGAAAACATTCTCTTGCAATCTTCCACAGTACAGGGGAGTTTCTTCAACGTTGGGTAGAATTCGACTGCCTGTTGTAAGACAGTGAAATTCTGTCGATAGAACAGAACTGACTGACTGTCAATATTTATTGTAGAGACGGGCACGGCGTAAGAACCACATTGTTGACAGTCAGATGATTTATACAGACTAGGAGCATTTGGTAAAGACAACTGCCGCAAATTACTGACTGAATCATCAAGATCTAGCATGCATATGCCACTGTCTGGTTCTCTTCGAGTCATAGCGAATAAATCACTCAACAAAGCCGCCCTATCTGCATATACAGTTTCATCAAACTCTCGATCTTTCAGGGAGACAATGAGATTCAGCAACTTCATGGAAACGACGTGGAGACCAGAGGAGTATTCAGTCTATTGTAGGGTGATTAAGTCAAAAAGAATGCTCATTTTCAATTTTTACCTGTGCAGGAATGCAATAATTTATCATACGGGCTAGTGATTAATGTGGAGCAGGGGAGTAATAATTATTCCATAACAATATGATTTAAATAGCAATAAAAACATGAGACGAACACATTCATGATTAATTGGAAGGTTTTCCTAGAAATTCTAGACACTATTCAGTACACTGAACTTGTCAATATTTCAAGAAAATACTTATATCCGTTAAACAAATAATTATTTTTCAATTGCACTGTGGAGAAACACACCCAGACAACATTACTCCGAAATTGGCTTGCTCCAAAATGGCGACCGAAAGCTGGATGACTCAGCGGCCATATTGGATCGACATTTCCACCGTGTTTACAGTAGTCTGAACCGAAAATTTTCAATTTACACAATAATAGGATTGCATTGACGATTTTTTCTCAACTCGCAAAAATCTTCAAACAATTGGCTATCGATTGGTGATAAAATTTTTTGGAAATGATGAAATAGGGGGGATAACGCCTTTTTTTTCAGGGGTGATTTTTCAAAAATTTATTTTAAAAAAAGTACTAATTAGCAAATGTTTTTTATGAGCTCGCAATTTGTTTCAAAACTACTTCAATGAGGAAAAAAATTAAAATTTTAAATATCTATACATGAGGGGCTGATTGATCGGATCTGCGGCCTCCTCAGGTTCGCCTTATAGCGGATTCTCAGTGAAAGCGTCAGCAAGTTGGTCCCTTTTCTGCTTTTTAATTTCAACATCGAATGTAAAATCATTGAGGTACGTTTTCCATTTCACTTGTCTGGTGGTGGGATTGCTCGAGTCCCTGAGCCAGTTCAGTGCCGAAATGTTGGTGACTATGGTGAAAGGAACTCTGCAAATGTATTGCTTGAACTGGTCTAGGGCATGGACTGCGGCTAGGCAGTCCAGTTCGATCGGGGTGTACCTGGGCTCTGCGCCTCGGAGCGTTCTGGATGCATAGATTATTGGGTGTTAGTCCCCTTTCCCATCTCTCTGGCTTAGTATGGCTCCTAAGCTTTTCGGTGTGCTGGAAATATGAACGATGAAGGATTCGTCCATGTCGGAGTGCTAGAGAAGGGAGTCTTCTGTGAGTGCCTCTTTGAGGGCTTGGAATTCATCTTTGTGTTCTTTTCCCCACCTGAAATTAATGTCCTTTTTGAGCAGTGCATTCAGAGGTTGAGCAAGTTCTGCGTAGTCCTTAACAAATCGTCGGTAATAATTGCTAAACCCCAGGAATCTTCTCACGTCGTGCTGGCTAGTGGGGTGTGGCATTTCCGTCAATGCTCTGATTTTGAAGGGATCAGGATGAATTCCGTTCTCGTTAATGATGTGTCCCAGGTGGCCTACTTCCTTCATAATGAATTTGTACTTGTCCGGCTGCAAAGTTAGCCCATTATTTCGCAGGCAGTTGAATAAATTTCTTAGGCGTTGGGTATGATCTTTGGCTGTTTTTGAGTACACCACCACATCATCCAGGTAGACGTAAAGTTCTGTGCCTTTGAGACTGGTCAGAGTCTGATCCATCATCCGCTGGAATATGGGTAGTGAGTTTTGTAAGCCGAAGGGCATCCTTACATATTCATTGTGACCGCTCGGTCCTATGAAAGCTGTTTTTTCAGAGTCGTTCTCATCCATCTCGACTTGGTGGAACCCATTGGCTAAATCAAATACGCTGAAATACTTTGCTCCCCCTAGCTGGGAGAGAATCTTACATATATTGGGTAGGGGGTATGAATCTCCTATCGTCTTTTGATTTAAGGCCTTGTAGTCGATCACCATCGTCCAGCGTTTTCTTCCTTTAGATTCCCCCTTCTTCGGCACAATCCATGGAGGTGAATTGAAGGCTGATTCAGAATTCCTGATAATTCCCTGATCCAACAGCGTTTCGATTTGTTTGTACTGGCGTTTGTGGATTGGCTTATGGTCAATTGTCCTGATCTTGCATTTGAAGTTCTTGGCTTATCCCAGCTTATCCCCTGGGAGGTGGAAGGTATCATGAAACTCGCGAACCAACTCCACGACCCTCTTCCTCTCGAAAGGCTTGAGGTCCGGGCTCTCGAGGATGATTTCCAGCGATGATTGTGACTCTGATATGACCTCAGGGCTCTCGGGGGTGATTTCCATCGAGGATTGTGACTCTGACACGACCTCAGGGCTCTCGGGGGTGATTTCTGTCGATGTATGGTCCTCAGAGCGATTTTTTTCAAACTCACGAGCCCTGAATTGCCTGTTTTTCCTTGGCCAATTGCCTCCTTTCCCGAGCGTTGAATTCGGCCTTCTTCTTTTCAGCGATTTTTAAGCGATTTTCACGAGCACGTGCTTTTTCTTGCTTCTTTTCATCAGTATCCTTTATTTTTTTCTTCTCTTGTTGCTGCTTTTCCACCACATTTTTATTTTCAAGGGGCACATTTTCATCACACACTTGATTGAAAATATCAAGATCGTCTTCCAGCATATTCATCCACAAGTTTTTATCCTCCGTGCTCACTTGAATAATTTCACTTTTTTTATTCGCATCCACAATTTTGGAATCACTTTGAGCGCTATGTGGTGACTTATTGCTCAACCGTGCTCCCGAGTTTTTCTTCTTTTCAGTCATTTGGGTGCCAGGGCCAATGTTTATGCCAGGTCCGGGGTTGGAGGCTTCACGTTGCTGGAGTTTCACTTTTTTTAACATTTTTTCAATCTTTTTTTTTCTTCACTATTATTTTCCACTATCCGATCACTCACTATTTTTATTTCGTTTTGATTTTTCATGTTCACAGAATATCGAGGTACTTTTCGTTTAAAACTCCCAGGCTTATAACGTGTTGGGCGCACTAAACTTCCACTGTTTTTGGGAGATGGACTCACTTGACTTGATGTCATTTTGCCGGAAACGCAAATGTAGTCAAAATGCCCTTGTAAGGCTCTTTTATGCAACACTAGTTAGGAGGAGGAGCTACGAGTTTTCCATATTTGGAAAATCTAACCTTGGTGGGGAGTCCTAAATATCCTATGAGAAGTAAGCCTCTAGTTTTTCTTTTTCAGTCCACTTCGTTTGCATTTGCTGTCTGTTGTAAACAAAGACCAGTGATTGGTCGTTTTTGCTTATAGATCAGTGTCTCCTCCCCCGCAGGGAAATAGTATTTTTCGCTGCACTCCCTATAGAATTGAGGCCAGGCAAATTTTTCGCCCACTCTCGCTTTATATAATCGCCTTTTTTCTATACCACTGAAATGATGTATCCCTGATTTCCACATTTTGTATAATAACACATCACTATTAAACAGGATTACCCTTTTCACCAAATGCAAAGTCTTATCATTCTTCGCGTATTTTCTATCGTTTAATAAACTAGCGATGGCGATGCTTCTCAGCGATGGAGGATTATACATCATTCGGAAACTCTCTTCTATCTCTTCGTTGGATTCAGCCGGTTCTTTGTTGTAGCATACTTGGAAAATGGTATACATATCCATTCCATTCTCGTCTTGACCACATAATCTATCCTTTCGATACTTGATATGTATTTCACTCTCTTCTCTTGTACTTTTGTCTTTGCAGCAACATTCATCACCTGCTTGGAAATCATCTATTTAACATTCTAGTTGTTTTTTTGCCACGATCATTCGTTTTTTCGGCGGTATGTACTTCATCTTCCGTGTATTTATCAACATATACACGTATGCGTTTCTGACGAAATCTAGGCTTTCGTTTTACCTTGTAGTTCTCGGTCCTGGTGAGCGATCTGCGAGATATTTATCGAACAGTTTGACGTCTTGATCTCTCCAAATTTTATTCATTTTTACTGTCCTAAATATATTTTCACGAATGACTGACAAAAAATAAATCCAAGTCACTCGTATTTAAAAAAATTCGCAGCGGCGGGTCAATATGATAGGAGTGGGGGTAGCATCATAGAGGTGGGGGTAATATACATCATATGAAATCCATGGTAG